TGGAGATTGATTAGGTGGGTCTGGAGTCAGTATGGGTTCTTTTAACGTATGTTTCAGAAGAGTCCTGTGATCAGACACATTTGGCAAATGGCGCACTAGATCATACCTATGGCGTACCCCCAAGCAGTTGGTCCTGAGGCTTCCTTGGGCTTTGAGGATGTCTTTAGACATCCTCTTACTCCCTTGGGACTGGCAGTGGGGCAGCGCCCAGCAGTCTGGCTGCGACAGAGGTGACTGGCTCACCATGGTCCAGAGGTAGGAGAACTGTGTGAGGCAGAGAGAAAGGAAAACTCGGAGCACTCCCCAAGAGCCGGTTCTAGATGTTTCTAATCCTAGAATAATGATCTATTGTGACAATCTCAGATCTGACAATAGGAATCACAGGTAATTTTCTCATTCCCTCGATGTCATTCTGAGCAAAACTTAGATCATGAACAGAAAGAAAAGAGACCGATGGGGAAATGGCAAATCATTCTTTGAAGCATTCAGATTATCGGCCTGGCTGGTCAAATCCCACTTCCACCTTAAGACCCAAAGTGGGGTGGGCAAGAATAATAAGATCTACATTATATACCCTTCCAACATCAGATTTAGATGCTGTCAGAATCGTGCTAGAAGTTTAAAATTGATTTATAGGATCTAGAGATCCAAATTCACCAACATAGGGCCCCAGAAAGTCCTAGAGGAAAAAAGTGCCTAGATTTGTTTTTTGTTTTTCTGCTAGGATCCTACCTCCTAGTCACCTGGGAAGCTGATCCATGGAGCTTTAAGTAAGGGGCTTTTACTATCAGAGTGGGACAGAGATACTGTTGAGCTGCTTAAAGTAGCATCCTGAGTTTTGGCACTGGCTGAGGGTGATAAGTTTAATACTAATAGTATTTGTGTTATTTTTATGGTGTACTACTGTTTACAGGGCACTTTCACATGCATTATATCCTTTGATCCTCACAACACCCTCCTGCGACAGAGGCAAGGGGGATGTTGTGGCCTCCTCATCAAACAGAAGGTCAAGCTGAGTTTGAGAAAAGCTAAGTGATTTGCCTGTAGTCCAAAGGTTTTTAAAATTACAGAGCCAGGCCCTCCGTCTGCCCAGGGTCCTTCCCAGACAATTCCTGCAGCACCCACAGGACTGGTATCTGGCTGATTTGCACCTGCTGCAAGAGTCCTGGACCCCGTGCTCACTCACATGCCGCCGGTGGGACGAGGCTGTGGAGCTGGGCAGTCGGGGCCGCTTCGTGCTGCCCAGCACCACTCCCGAACTGTGGCTCTGCATGGGCGCCAGCCTCCCTCAAGGATGGTTTCTCTTTCACTAGCTGTGCTGTGAGGGGAAAAGGCTTGGACAAAAATATGCATCAGATTCCTCCTTGAAGAGGAATTCCTGAGCCAAACTACAAATTCATCTAGACTTGGAACTCCAGGGTTCAGGGGCAACCTGCTTAGAAGTGAACTATCTGGCATCCTCCCCGCATTTGGGGATTTTAGGTAGAACTAAGAAGGGCTAGATGTAGAAGGAAGCGGTGCAGCTGTGTAGTTAGAATTTTTTGAGAGTTTCTTACTGGGGCTGGACACAAGCCCATGTGGCCTGACCCATCTCTTCTGGGAAAGCGAAAAGAGAAACAAATAACTTCACTCTTTGGCTTTAAGGAAAAGCCACTTTAGTAACAAAGGTATTAGACACTATCCAATGCGAATTTTCCCTTTGGGAATATACAAGAGGGGAATAGAAGGTACAAGAAGACGAAGGGGTCAGAAATCTGTGTCATGAGAGTCACCTGCCCAGGTATTTTGTGCCTTGTCTGTGGCATCAAAACTAAAATGTTGTATCACTCTTGCCCATGATTTTTTTTTCAGTGTCAAACATATGAAGTGAATTTGCTTGTAATGTTTTAATCTAAATAAAGTATTTCACCTACATTTGTTATCAGGAACTCATAATTAACACAACTGTGTTTCATCATGATCTGACATTAAGTGACCTCAGAAGGAAAAAGAAGAATCACACATGACTGCCTCGGATTGTTTTAAGTACCGTGATAGAGGGTTAAATACCAGGGGCATTGTAGGGAAGGCACGCGCTAACAGAGCGTAAGTAGGTTTTCACAGACTTTCACGAGCTATGGCCTGGATAGATTCCGTTGCCACACTCACTGTTTTCCACAGACTAACATTCAGGAGAATATGAAGAGTACAAAAGATGGTGGACGATGTGACGGTACCTAGTTCATTTTCAAGAAGGACACAGGTATTTGCTTGCTAGAAATGGCACTTGGGGAAGGGAGGAAGGAAGCTATTTGTGGGAGGATATTTTAAGTTCTGAAGAGATCTGAAGAATTCTACAGCATCATAATTCAGAGAAGGCCACTTAAAACCTTTGTTAGCAAAAGAAGGGATAAGTACCTCAGGGCCGTATTAATCCTTTCTTATTAGCCAGGCCCTATCAAGGGAGTCTTAGATTTTAGAGTCCTGGTTGAGGGCTCAATTCTCTTAGTAGTTAACTTAAAAATGCTCACATGTAGATTTAAAGATAGACTCCAAAACAGTTTAACTCTGATTACCTCCTCTGGACTTCCTGCTATTTTGTCCATTGTTTTAATTTTATCTTGCTTTTTCAGCTTTATAAAATATTGTGTTTAGAAAAATAAAATATCAATATATAAAGTGCTTAGAATCACATGTTTTTTTCTACACATCTTCTCTTTCTGCATTTCAGGTCTTCTTTTGAAATCTTTTCCCTTCTTTCTGAAGGAAGTTTTCTCTAGTGGTGGTCTTTTGGTAGGATACTCTATCCATTTTTGTTTATCTAAAACAAAGTCTTTACATCATTCTTGTTCTTGAAAGATAATTTCACTGAGTAGACAATTTTAGACTAATAGTTATTTTCCCTTGGCACACTGAAGATATTAGTGTATTCTCTTCTGGCTTTTATTGTTGCTTGTAAGTCAGTTACCAATCTAATTATCCTTCCTTTGAAAGTAATCTGTCTTGTCTCTCTGGCTGTTTTTAAGATTTTATTTTTGTCTCTCATGTTCTTTGGTTTAATTAACATGGTGTGGATTTCTTTTTTACTTATTCAGATTGGGATTTGTTGTGCTTCCTGAATCTTCCATTAATGATGGAAAACTCTTAGTTATTAACATGTCAAATATGTCTTCTCTTTAAGCTTTCCTTTGAGAATTCCAATTAAATGTATGTTAGGCCTTTTCATTCCATCTTCCATATTGCTTAAGCTACCTTTGTCTTTTTGTGCTGTATTCTGGGTAATTTCTTCAAGTTTATCTTCCAGTTCACTATTTTTCTTTTCAGTTGGCTCTAATTTCCTTCTTTGAGTTTTAATTTCAATTAATAAATTTTTCATTTCTAAAAGCTCAGTTTAGTTTTTTTCAGATTTACATGGTCATTGTTGAATACCATCCAACTCCTTATTCTTGTAGACAATTCCCTCTTATTTCTTTGACTACATTAAGTGTACTAATTTTCTACTTTATACCCAGTAATTTATCTGCAGTCTTTATAGGTTTTTGAAGTTTGTTACTTCTGCTAACCCTCACTCATGGTTTCTTATTTCCTTATATGTTTTGTAGTTTTTTTGATTGTGGACTCATATTTGGTAGAACGCCATATTGCATTGATGCCAGTCAAGAAAGACCTTGTTTGTTTTTTGCTCTTACCTGTCCTCCTTCTCTCCAAAATGACTCCACATAGACACGGTAAGTCTGGAGGGTCCAAGAGAAATGAGTAATTAAAGAGGGAATGGAAGTGCTAAGGGGGATAAATCTAGGAGGTACATGCACTTCTCTCTAATGCAAGCTTCTAGACTAAAATGAGCCTAAGATAAAAGAGAACAAGAAGCTTTAACTTTAAATATTGTTAATATTTTGATCATTATAAAATAATCACTATTTTAATTATAGAAATAAGACTATTTGGGGGTTAAAAGTGAACAAAAGTCCATTTATTAGTTGAGTGACCAAGGAAATTATGGATCCAGGTTTTATTCAGGAAGCAAAGAAAGACTAGACCCATAGGATGGATTATAATGAGGCAGTTGTGGTGAAAAATATGTTATCTTATGTTTGCACCCTGTTGATTCCCATTTGTTTAATATAAAAGTCACATTTTTATATGTATTCAATTCAAGAAATAAAGAATTAGGCTTAACTAGGTTTTGGAAAGGTTCTGAAAACTCTTGACAGATACATCCTAATAATACTTACCACACCATTTGAGTGAAAGATTTTCTGCTGAATTTGGTTTTAAGCATTTCCTGAAAGCTCGTCAGGTGGTCTGAGATGACTCATGAAATATGGCAGGAGGTACAGAGGTAGCTGGCAAGCCTGCGCCGGAGAAGGGCCGTGAGTGAGCCTGGCACGCCATCTAGCGGCACACATCCCAGAGCATACCTTTGGTACTACATTTCCAGGATTCAAGGTGTTGGATAGAGGTGTTCCTCACATTGTTCATGAAGTGTTCTTAAAAAGCCATGTATGAATTCACTTTTGGCAAATCAAATCAAAGTGCATTAGGAGATCTTTATTTAGAAGTGATGAGTTTTTCTGTATGTTTTAGACCTTGCTATATTACATTTTCAGGGAAGACTTTTGTCGATACCATGTGGGGAAAATCTCATGTTTCTTCCTTGCGACCAAGTGGGAATGAGGCACATGCCTCCTTTGATTTAAAGCTATTTTAAAGTGTGCTTTTTACCACCATTGAGATACAAGTCTTTTCTGAAGTCAGGTCAGCCTTTGATACTTCAGAGTTACAGTGAAGCCAGTTTCTCATTAACAAGCAAAAATTATGTCATTGAAATGTGCAACCAAATAGTCCATTCCCTGGCCTTTTGCTGTAAAAAAGATAAATCTCTCTCTCTCTCTCTCCCTCTCCCTCCCTCCCTCTCTCTCTCCTTCCCTCCCCACCCTCTCTTTAAAAAAACAAAACAAAAACAGAGAAGACTCTATAGTCTCTTATATTAAAACACTTTTTAAATACAACCCTTGCTCTCAGGAGATGTGTTCTTCTATTTCGTTTGCAAATCTAGTGCGACAGTTCAGCAACAATGTATTCTTCCTGGCTCATTTTGTTTTTTTTCTGGAGATGTTCAGTCTCCAGCAGAGCAAAGCTGAAGAGATAATATATGCTGTTTACCACTGTTCTTATCAAAGATCTTTGTTTAACTGAATGGAATTCATTTATAATAGCTATACTAGCATCCCTCTTCTCCCAGAGCCTCTTGGTGTTGCTGCTGTGGTCCTGGAAACTGGCTTTTCTCATTCCTTCATGACAGGGAGACATGGAGTTCCAGCTGAAGTTTTTCCTTTGGCAGGGATATTAGTCCAAAATCTTCGGGTTGCAAATGACAGAAAGCCAATTCAGACTAGCTGGAAAAAAAAAAAAAAAGGAGGGTATGAAGGTAGTTTATTAGAAAGATCCTGGGGTGGCTCATGAGATGGAAGAAGAGCTGTAGGAAGTGAGGGAAAATATGGGTTTAATGTAGTCAGATTCTCTCTATGTCCATCACTCACATCTACTCATCTTTTTACATATATATTTTTTTCCCCAGTGAGGACAGACCTTCTCTACAAAGCAGGAATAAAGACACTAGCAGTCCAGGAGTCACAATTTTCCAGCTTATGTGACAAGACAGGTGAAAGGCCTTACCCATGAGACAATGAGGAAAGGCTGTGATTGGCCCATAGTGAGTCATGTGCCATCTTTGACCTAATCATTGTGGCCAGAAAGATGGCAAGTCCACTTATGATCAGGAAGAAACTGAAGAGTGGAATGAGAACATTTCTCCAAAGGAGAGAGGGGGCTATTAATAGAAGTGGGATATGGGATGCCATGCAGACAAAACACAATAACAACAACAACAGGTATCCACTAATAAATCAAAAAAGATTCTTTTCTTTTACGTAAATTTAGTTAACACACACTGTATTATTAGTTTCAGGGGTAGAATTTAGTGATTCATCAGTTGTATGTAACACCCAGTGCTCATCACATCAAGTGCCCTCCTTAACAGCCCATTACCCAGTTACCCCATCCCCCACCAACCTCCCCTCCAGCAACCCTCAGTTTGTTCCCTAAGAATTTCCTATGGTTTACCTCCCTCTCTGTTTTCATCTTATTTTACTTTTCTTTCCTTCCCCTATGTTCATCTGTTTGGTTTCTTAAATTCCACATATGAGTGAAATCATATATTTGTCTTTCTCTGATTGACTTATTTCACTTAACATAATACCCCTTAGTTCCTTCCATGTCATTAGAAATGGCAAGATTTCATTCTTTTCGATGGCTGAGTAATATTCCATCATATATATATGTCACGTCTTCTTTATCCATTCATCTGCCGATGGACATCTGGACTCTTTCCATGGTTTGGCTATTGTGGACATTGCTGCTATAAACATTGGGGTGCAGGTGCCCCTTTGGATCCCTATGTTTGTATCCTTTGGATAAATACCTAGAAGTGCAATTGCTGGGTCAGAGGGTAGTTCTATTTTTAACTTTTTGAGGAACCTCCATACTGTTTTCCAGAGTGGCTGCACCAGCTTTCATTCCCACCAACAGTGTAGGAGGGTTCCCCTTTCTCCGCACCCTTGCCAACATCTGCTATTTCCTAAATTGCCAATTTTACCCATTCTGACTGGTGTGAGGTGGTATCTCATTGTGGTTTTGAATTGTATTGCCCTGATGCTGAGTGATGATGAACATTTTTTCATGTGTCTGTTGGCCATTAGCATGTCTTCTTTGGAGGAATGTCTGCCCATGTCTTCTGTCCAGTTCTTGCCTGGAGTTTTGTTTTTTGGGTGTTGAGTTTGATGAGTTCTTTGTAGATTTTGGATATTAGCCCTTTATCTGATATGTCATTTGTGAATATCTTCTCCCATTCCATAGGTTGCCTTTTAGTTTTGTTGACTATTTCCTTGCTGTGCAAAAGCTTTTTATCCTGATGAAGTCCCAATAGTTCATTTCTGCTTTTGTTTCCCTTGCCCCATCTAGAAGAAGTTGCTACAGCTGAGGTCAGAGAGGTTGTTCCCTATGTTCTCATTTAGGATTTTGATGGATTCCTGTCTTGCATTTTGGTCTTGCATCCATTTTGAATTTATTTTTGTGTATGGTGTAAGAAAGTGATCCAACATCATACTTCTGCTGTCCAATTTTCCCAACACCATTTGTTGAAGAGACTGTCTTTTTTTCCATTGAATATTCTTTCCTGCTTTGTCAGAGATTAGTTGACCATAGAGTGGAGGGTCCATTTCTGGGCTCTCTATTCTGTTCCATTGATCTGTGTGTCTATTTTTGTGCAAGTACCATACTGTCTTGATGATTACAGCTTTGTAATACAGCTCAAAGTCCAAAATTGTTATGCCTCCAGCTTCGGTTTTCTTTTTCAACATTCCTTTGGTTATTCGGGTCTTTTCTGGGTCCATACAAATTTTAGGATTGTTCCAGCTCTGTGAAAAATGGGTCTTGTTTTTTTTATCCATTCTGATACCTTATGTCTTTTAATTGGAGCATTTAATGTATTTACAGAGTAATTATTTATTTATTAGTTTCAGAGGTAGAATTTAGTGATTCATCAGTTGCATATAACACCCAGTGCTCATTACATCAAGTGTCCTCCTTAATGCCCATCACCAAATATCCCTTCCCCCAACCCATCTCCCCTCCAGCAACCCTCAGTTTGTTTTCTAGAGTTCAGTGTCTCTTATGGTTTGCCTCCTTATTTCCATCTTATTTTATTTTTCAGAGCAATTCCTGAAAGATATTAATTTAGTGCCTTTGTATTACTTGTAAAGTCACTGCTCCTATAGATTCTCTATGTTCCTTTCTAGTCTTTGTTTTTAGTTTCTCTTTTGGCTCAAAGGGTCCCCTTAATATTTCTTGCAGGGCTGGTTTAGGGTTCACAAATTCTTTTAGTTTTTGATTGTCTTGGAAACTCTTTATTCCCCCTTCTATTCTGAATGACAGCCTTACTGGATAAAGTATTCTTGGCTGCATATTTTTCCCATTTAGCACATTGAATATATCATGCCAGTCCTTTCTGACCTGCCAGGTCTCTGTGGACAGTTCTGTACCAGCCTATGTGTCTACCCTTGTAGGTTAAGGACTTCTTGTCCTGAGCTGCTTTCAGGTTTTTCTCTTTCTCTTTGTAATTTGTAAGTTTCACTATATAATATGTTGTGCTGTTGACCTATTTTTGTTGATTTTGAGGGGGAGTTCTCTGTGCCTCTTGGACTTGAATGCCTGTTTCTTTCCCCAGATTAGGGAAGTTCTCAGTTATAATCTGTTCAAATAAACCTTCTGCCCTTCTCTCCCTGCTCTTCTTCTTCTTCTGGGACTCCTATAATATAGATATTATTTTGCATTATGGAACCACTGAGTTCCCTAAGTCTACCTTCATCATCTAATAGTTTTCTTTCCCTTATTTTCAGCTTCATTATTTTCCATAATTTTATCTTCTATATCACTGATTCACTCTCCTGCTTTGTTCATCCTCATTTCTATAGCCTCCACTTCGGACTACATCTTGGTCCTAGCATTTTTAATTTTGGCCTCACTAGACTTTAGTTTTTTTATCTCTACAGTGAGGGATTCTCTAGTGTCCTCTATGCTTTTTTCAAGCCCAGCTAGTATCCTTATAATCATTGTTTTAAATTCTAGTTCAGACATCTTATATCCATACTGATTAAATCCCTGGCTGTGAGTACTACCTCCTGTTCTTTCTTTTGGGGTGAATTCTGCATCTCTTCCTTTTGTCCAGGAAAGAAAGGAAGAAAGGAAAAGAAAAAGCAACAACAACAACAATTAGATCCTGGGTGTGTTTTGGTCTGCTTATTAAAAGAAACTAGTTCCCAAAATAAGAAAGAATGAAAAAGACATATACATATAAAAATAAAATAAAATACAATGAAAGGAAACCAAAAATAATATGTATATGTATATGTGTGTGTATGTATATATATATATAAAAATTAAAAAAGCATTGAAAAAATTATAAAATAACTGAAAAAATAGTAATAATAAACTAAAGAATAAAAGTTCCTGTTCCTCCCAGGGTCTTGCCAGGCTTCTGCCTTCTGCTGGACTGGTCCCAGGACAGCAGTCGCACAACCGCACAGCGGTTCACAGTTTACGGCAGAAAGCCAGCGTCTACACTCACTGTCCTCAGCTGGCTTCCATGCCCCTATGCCTGGGAACAGTGCAACATTTATGCACCACCGGTTTTTCTTGTGACCCAGAGGATCCTCAGATCATGGTGTCACATCTGGGGTCCCACCCTGCTTTGCCCCCTGAACACTTTATGCCAGGCACGTCCCCCACTGCAGCAGACTTCTAGAAGTTCCGATTTTGCACTCCTTTACTTACAATACTTTGTGGTAGCCTCCTTAAACAGGCTCCCTCCCCACCGCCCTATACTCAGCTATATCACCCTGGATTCAAGTCTCTGCACCTCCTACCTTCCAAAAGGTGGTCACTTTTCTTAGAGACTTGCAGTATTTGTTTTCTCAGAACCTCCAGTTGATTTCTCGGGTGTTCAGAATGATTTCATAAGTATTTAGTTGCATTCGAGGGACGAGACAAACTTAGGGTCCCCCTACTCCTCCACCATCTTAACTCCTCCCCCCAAAAAGATCCTTCATCTATACTTATAGAGGCCTAAACAACCCTCAAGATACTATCTCTATCCAGGGCATCAGGGAGGCGATTTTCATGACAATTCATAAAAAATCCCACCAGCGCCTTCCACATACTAGTGTATCTTCTTGGTTATACTCAGCTCATTCCAAATTCAGAAGTCCTTCTCCGTGTCACCATGTTATTTAGGATTTTTCATCTCTTCTCAGGGTTATCCTCCTTTCTTCCATCGTACCTCCAGTGCTGTCCCCTAATAATTCATGCTTTCTTTGTTGCCAGAGATTCTAGATCGTTTCAAGAAAAACACTTGATGTTGGGCAAGGGCTTTGCTCTTCCTCTGTAAGTTCCATAGAACTGGGGGCTTTTGCTTCCCTATCTACCTTTTTATTCTTCTTCTGTACAAGCAGAAAAGGGGAACTAACTAGATTCCAGAGAATCTGCAGTTCACCATGCCACATTTCACATTGTAAAGCGCTTTCTCTTTCCTGGTCCCACATCCATTTCATTTCCTGTTCTCAGGGATGGCCAGCACCTCTTGTTCTCAGGGATGGCACACTTGGGTAGAGTCATCTCTAGGCACCTTGGCTTCAGAGCAAGGCAGCATTCTTTAACATGGGTACTGGAAACCCTGCATCTGCGGACTTATTTGTCCCTGGGAACCCTCATTTGACTGTAATCTTTATGTATGTGGATGTGGCATTGGTCATGAAAAAATAGAACTGTGCACCTTAAACCC